TTGACATTTGCCAAACTAACTCTTCACTGATTCATCCTTATTTCTGTTTGATGTGTAAAGTATTCAACTGACATTACAATTAATCAATGCTTTCTGTCCTTCGATGTGTACAATAATTTAATGTCAACACATCTGTTTGATGCAAACTGGTAACATCTCAGGATCATTGTGAAGCCCGTTAAAATATACTTCTATCTGAATCTCAAATCCTTTCAAAAGTGACAAACAAGAGACCTAAATCCATAAGGAAGTCTCATCAGCGTGTATTCAGGAAGTTATTTCCACATCAGTAAATCTGTTTTTTCAAAAACGTTACTACGTTAAGTAAAGTTAAAAGGATCAACAGTTTTCAATATCAAATTCCATAGTACGAGTATCAGCCTTTTCCATGAACTGGTCTTTTGTGAGTTTTCTCACAGTCAACACTTCAACCCTGCTCTTCTCCCAGGGCCTTACATAGTGTAAGTTACAATGAAGTCATGCCTGGCTGTGAATGTAATGGACCCAGCTTAAAGGGGCACTCCACTGGGAAGTCTATATGTCCACAGTGTTCTGGTAATGATTTAGGGTGTATGTTAAATTGATTCTCCATACAGAAGCGAAATATGATGTGATACACATCGTTTATTGAAAACCACTGATCATTCAATGCATGGCACTCCAGGGGGTCAAGGAAATCAAAATGGCAGACAGACATGTTTCAGTGAGCACAGTTTAACCATCCAGCAGTGATCATGTTAATTAATTGTGTTGTAGACTGAGAAACATATTCGTATATAAGTCAATGGGGCCCAGGGAGAGAAATACAAATGCAAGATGTCAGACTGTTTTGATGTATCATATCATATTTTTCATGTCTAGGATACTGACTCATTTTCACCTAAACTTGTATCATTAGTTTCAGTCACACCAATGACCAACTATATTTCAACTCCATCACCTTCTTATTGATATTCTTAGAACCTAACATAAATTGTAAACTGAACCTATATGTACTTAACTCCATAACAACAAACATGTATTATTTCCCATGACATATAAGCCATGAACTCCACTACAAAGGCATTATATATTATATAAAGATGTTTGTGTATTATAAATGGCCTCCATTGTAACCTACTTGTCAGACTGACTGAACATAGAACTACCACTGTTTGACAGTTACAGTTTCCAATTTTTTTTCCCATATTTAACAATGTATGCGCCATGACAAATATGGCTTTTCACACAATATCGTTCCTAATTTATTTAAATGAAAATCCTTCTGAAATCTATTGCACATAAATGTCTGTGTTACGTATAGAGTACTACCCCTTTAAATCCACAATAACAAACATTCAGTAGTTTTCCCAAGATGTTTCCCATGACATCCACATATGATCTCAGCATTCACAGTTGAACCTTTACACACACTTTCGCCAAGTCATTGTTGCTGCAATATTCTCAAGGCTTACCCATTACACATTCAGTCCATACACCACCATCACCCTCCAACCTCATCATACTCAGTACTTACCCTCTTGAATAATGAAGCAGCTACAGAATGGTAATGAATCAGTTCCTTACATACAATTATATGTGTATATATATGATGAATCACACCTGAAGGTTTAACTGTTGCAATGTCCAAAGAACATTGTGTGGATACTTGAAAGTAAACATTAAACAGAAAGAAAATAGGGCATAGAATAATCATATCTGGATGAGTTCTGTTTAATGCTGCTTGAAACAGTACTTCACTTGTCATAAGGGATGCCGGAAGGGACACGCTGTCAGATAATTCAAATAATTTTTACAAACCTTCTCTTCCTGTTTGTCGATGCCATCATAAACACATCTTAAAATGCAGATGAGATTATTTTTAATTTTATTTTCACATAAAAAGTTCCTCTCATGTTCATCTGGATGGCAACTGCATGTTAACCTGTTTAATCAGTTCCTATGGTAATCAAACACAATTTGTTTGTCCTCCACTCATTTACACGGATGTTGATCAGCTGGCGAAAGAAGCAAGAGAGCCACATATAAGGAAAGTTTCTGATAATAAATATTGACATTATCTTATACAACCAGGATACATGAGAGTCACATGTAGTCCTTTAACAATAAGGAAATAATTCAGTTTCACATACTGACCACTGCAATATATAAATATGCAAGTATATAAATACAGCGTTTGCAATAGTGATACAGGCATACAGGGTGCTATATTTTCCAGGAAATTGATTATCATCCTTGGTTTTCCAATAGATTGTTTTCAAATTTGGTATTTGATGTAGCACAATCTCCTATTCAAAGTTTACATGCTCATCACATGTGCCTAACAATAATTGGCTCTATAGCAAACTCACCGGTGATATGCTCTCTGAATCATATAATCAAAGAGAATTATGATCTTGATAAAAGTTTATTATTCAGACAATTTTGACTCTAAAAAGACCAAACACAACAGACAAAGGGACAAAAAACAGAAGGCAGAAATGAGACAAGAAGGGTGTTAGTGACTAAATGTGATTTTTTGCTGCTCTTGGCAATATCTCAAACATTTTACATGTACCAAGAATGGATTAAAACATTGTACAAACACAGGGAATGAAACCATTACCAACCCATTAAGTTATTGAAAGGCTTCTACCACTGGGCTACCCAACAATGATACAAATGACAAGGTCCTCTAATACAATATCAAAACTGCAGTTTCCTGTTGGGTTCTGGAACCAGGGATCCTGGTCAGAGGACATTACTGTATATTGTCATCATGGTTATAGACTGGGTACCTGGAGGGATAGACTGGGTACCTGGAGGGATAGACTGGGTACCTGGAGGGATAGACTGGGTACCTGGAGGGATAGACCGGGTACTTGGAGGGAGAGACTGGGTACCTGGAGGGATAGACTGGGTACCTGGAGGGATACACTGGGTACCTGGAGGGATACACTGGGTACCTGGAGGGATACACTGGGTACCTTGAGGGATACACTGGGTACCTGGAGGGATAGACTGGGTACCTGGAGGGATACACAGGCAATGTGACTTGTAACACTGCCTTACAACTCTACTGTCTTTCCTGGGGATGTTTCAGAAAACATTTCCCATTGATTTGTGTGTTAGCAATATGTCCGCACAGCTGCGAATGTATCACCCGATACACACACTCAGCCATAGCAGTGACACTAGTAACAGACTGGCAGCTTGTTGGGATATATCAGAAAATAATACAAAAAACACCCAATGAAATTAATCTCAAATGAACATGGTAAATATACATAATTTTTAGACTTATTTCAAAACAAGTACAATTATATGTGTATTGCTTGTGTATTAATTTGTGTCTCTGTGCAGCAAAGTGTAAAGAGTGACATCAAAAATTTTAAAACACCGATATCTTACTAGTGGCAAATCAGACAAGTACTGGTACATACTCAGACTGACTGTTAAAAGTCTGTACTAAACAATGGAGAAGAAAACTGACAAGAACAATTCTATTTTATGTTTTTCCCAACGATGTATGGATACAACATATGCTACATGATTGATTCTTTATTCTTTTGGAAACAAATAATAAACATGCAATAAATACATATACGTCTAACAGGAAATCCACAAAAAGAGAAAAACATCAAAGATTTCTTTTCAGCACCGAAAACAATATAGATTTCTTTTTTGTAACATACATTAAAGTCTTGGGCTCAATGGGTGCATAGATTATCCAAGAGATGTTTTAGAATTCATTGTTATAACAATCAAAGATCATAGGACTTCCATAATTACACGTTCTTAATTGCAGCTTCTATCAATAGTGTATCATGTTTAAACAAGATAATTGAAAAAAAAAATTTATTTGCCATCATGTGTGCTGATAATAATGGAATTATAAAACTTGTGAGGAGTCAAAAGATGTTAGAGATTTACAAAACAGATACAAAACAGTCCATCATCACTGAACAAGTGTAAATATATTGGTATTTTTAATTAACCATATAAAAAAAACTCTGCTAACTTTTATGAAATGCTCTAAGCTCAGGACAATATTCTTTGCAGATGAAGATAGTGTATACAAAAAACATGTATCACATCACATAAAAACTGTTCAATGTGTACTTTAAACAGCTCCCAAGTTTCCAAAGAAAATATCTAAATTCAGAATGGTTACACTCTACATCCTCCTTCAATCCTGAGAACACACATCAACCAGTTTCAAGGGGGCAAGAACTCTGGTGTTGAAAGTTGAAAATAAAAATCAAATATTTAACCAACTGAAAGAAAAACGTACTTCAAATTCTATAGGGATGTGTTAAGATATTCATTCATATCATTTGTCAGTCTTAAAAATAATGTCACGGTGGGTTCAACATTAATTTAATTTTTGGAGAATGACTTCAGAAAAAATAATTAGACCACTTTGAGTCAGACTGACTATTCTGGTTGTCTTGACTTGATTAAGCTATGTCCGACTCAAGCTCGCTTCAGACTGGTTAGCATCGATTTCGGCATTGATCGTTGCTTTGGGCGCGGCTAAACAGCTACGGGAAAGGATGGATCCTCTATTGAAATGCCTGTTCTAATTACAACAATACTCCTAGATAGTGCTAATATGAAGTCCCAGTGTACAATTACAGTCAGACGGACAGACAAAAGTATATTTATGGCTCACAACAGCATTGGCCATTCAGAATGACAGGTGCTCCATCTCGCCCACCTGCCGCACGTGCTCATCATACACAGATTACCGACCTGGAACCGTTTGCATCCCCGTCAACTGCACGCTAACATTAACGCACGATTATAACTTTATGACACAAAGGTATTTGAAATTATACCAAACATCTACCATTGAAGATCAAATTACAACTTACATGCTTGACTGTTTCTGACTGATGAGACATCACAGAAGATCTATCATTGTCAGGATAATTATTGCTATTTCTGTTACTCGTCCCACCACGACAGACAATTCATTTATCACACTTATATTTTAAATATCTCTAATATACACCTACCTCCCGGTTATTCGTCGTGTTATAACATGGTGCTGTATCCGTGTTGCTGTAACTGGAAAGTTGCGCTGTTTAATTCACCAGGTAACTATACCGTTTATCCCAATACTGTTCCGCCCTGTGGATACCTGTAAGTCGGACTCTGTACACTTATCCTTCATTAAGTGCTTTGACAGGTCAGTTTATGTACAGGTACACAAATGTCTTCGACCAAGGCACCCGCGTTTCTATACCTGATCGTGTTCTACAGGTAAATTCACCTGGTTCCAAGACCCCATTCAGTGTCACTGCGACAGATGTTTTCGTCTGCACGCAGAGCACACCGGTCGATTCAACAATCCAACCAATCAGAATCCACGACACATACTCATTTTACCTGAAGTGTTATGTCAGTGATTTGGATTGGTTTGCAGTCGTTCTTTCATCAGGGCGTTTCATCCGAGGAACTTGATGTTTATGTTTATTAATTAATATCTCAACCCAGCCACGCTTATTTGACATCAAATTATCATTTGGATACTCAAATCGTAATCGAAACGATTCATCTGGGTCAAAATAAATTCAGAATTGGGAACCGACAAGGTTGTGTACTCTGTTGACTGTGATTGAGAGGTTATGGCTAATGTCTATGTTTCACGAAACCAGGGAGCCAGCCACACGCTACATTGATGATGATAATTCATATTAATCATATGTGTATGGTGATTGTAGGCCCATGCCTATACTATTTTCTTTAATACGAGCAAGTTTACATAATGGCTCACTGGGGATAACGGTACTTTGAAATTCGTTGTATAAGTGATTGTGTTCCGGTATAAAACCAACATTTATGTAACTTGCATCAATTTTATCCTTTCTAATAACACGATTTGCGGTTTTGTTTTACTTTCGCTAGGGCTTTACTTGAAGGTTGACACAGAGTACAACCGTTTAATCTAAAACTAAGATGAACTGCGCCTCTAAGAAAATAGTTTGTGTCATGGATGTACGAGTACATCTGTCATATGACAGATCTCTCCATAATGTCGTAAAACAACACGTACGTTCGATTAACGCAACCTGTCCTGACATGATTCATACGGGAACAATGAATCCGACTTAACTCGGTATATAAATGTCAACCTATACAGACAGACTTCTGACACTGCAGATTTCCAACCACCAAAGCATGTATACCACATGTTTCCTCTACATCCGAACCCCAAACCCTACTTGTTGGGAACAGCTTGCTGGACGTTATTTTTTTTTTAATTGCACGATATTTCATGTGTTATTGATCTACCTATTTGATGGCCAGACCATGCCCGACGGTGTTCCATATAACAGTTACAATGTATATGTTTTGTATATTTTATATATCGTAAATTTTACAGAAAATCCGCTTCTATATATGCATTAGTATATGAGTGTCTGTGCGTCTGTGTGTCTGTGTGCCCTTGCTGATATGGACCGTCCCGGTGACAGTTGTCATCCGTCGAGAATCTTGTGACACGCCTGGGGCAAATGCCGCATTTGATTTACCATTCTGAGAGTGGTGATGTTGTGTAGTGATAGATGGGTCATGACGGTGTGTTTGCTTGTGTTACAAATGAGTGAGTGAGTTTAGCTTTTATTCCAGGATTAGAAGTGTGGGAACACCAGAAATGGGCTTCACACATTGTACCCATGCGGGGAATCGAACCAGGGTCTTCGGCGTGACGACTGTATCATCTGCTTGTATCAAGTCTCGGTACCAAGCGTTGTAGGGACAACCGAGTTACAGCCGTTTAACCGACGGAGTTTGATGTGCAGGGCTGTGTCTCTGGAATTGCGTGCCGGAATGGTCGTGGGCTGAAATCCCTGATTCATCCTCATTCTTGATTTGTCAACACCTACCCACTGCTTCATGCTTGATATCCAGATACATCTGAATGAATTGAAACACTGCGGAAAGGGGTTTTACACGCAACTCACTCATTCACACTCTGTAATATTTATAAAATATTTTATTTAATTATTCAAAACACCACGAAGAATACGAAGCAGTATGTGTGTTTATGTGACGTATGGTATGTATGTTTATCTCATGGCGGCCGGTATGGATTGTTTGGTAATATTAGGTGTTAGTTGTTTTGTAATATTGATTTAGTAGCAAGAGCATAGGTACATTGAATTAGGCGAAACTGACACTTTTGAGACAGATGGTCACCCTAACAAACTGCTCAATAGTTATACCAACTTGAAATCGATCCGTTTTGACCAGTTACACTGTATCAAAAGTAACATAAGTTCACACGGAACAGCTAAGCCAGACGTGTGTACTGCCAACACAGCTGGGTAGACTTGGAGCCATGTGTTGCGGTGAGCGAAGCAGGGGGAGGTAACTAACATGACCAAGTGTACTTCCACTACGTGCGCTCACAAGGGCATCATTGTTTTGATGTGTTTCACGTAGCCGCCAAATTCTGAACATGGGTCGGTCGGTTGGGGAAAAAACAACAAAAACAACTTAATGAAGACAAAAGTATCTTAATAATGTTCTTGATTCTCATTTATTGTAATTCTTATTACAACTTCTCGCGTTCTTTGGACTTTGGCAGCGACTGATTAAAAGATAAACATTTTTTATGACGAGGCGGTACGTTTTAGGTTCGAGTCGGCTGTGTTGGTATGAAAAACAAAGTTGTTTGGGGGATCGGCAATAAAATTAGAAGGGTCGATCGGGCGAAGAGAAACACAGAAAATAAAAATGCTGCCCTAATGAATGTACCATCGTGGTTTGATTCTCGCTTCAGAGGTTCATGGTTTGTCTGGTCCACCCGATACAGGTAACCGTGATTAAGACTGACTGACTGACTGAGTTTGGTTTTACGCCGCTGTTAGCAATATTCCAGCAACATCACGGCGGGGGACACCAGAAATGGGCTTCACACATTGTACCCATGTGAGGATTCGAAACCCGGATCTTCGGCGTGACGAGCCAACGCTTTAACCACTAGGCTACCCCACCGCCCCCCGTGATTAAGAGTTTACTGAGAGTGTGCTTCGCTGGGGCGATTCTTCTTTTCTTTTGAACGATAGAGAAACCTATATGAATTACCCTTTTGTTTTAAAGCATTAGACAATATCATACCGCATAAGTTTTTTCTACATTAATATCTGGTGTTTAACTTGGTTTCAACTTAAGGTAGATTAGTTATATTATATACAAATTGGCACTTGTTCAATTCAGACAATTCTTGGAAAAGTTACAACTGACACAATTTTTCGTCCCAACTTTGCAGAGTCGATAATGGTCATTGTGTCCTTGCTAATGCACTGACGTGTAGCATGCATTGACGTGTAGCATGCATTGATGTGTAGCATTCCCTTCCAATGAAGGACGAATTATACGAGTTAATCAATTGATTCATCTTGGTTGGTACAGTGGCTAAGAAACAAAGCTGTGTGCACAACAATCATCGATGAAGCGTCGGGTATCTCCCCCGACCTCGTGGTGCCTCCTCGGTCGGAGAAAGTAGGTTACTGGTGATGGGTTATTGACCGGGTAGAATACACTCCAAGCGAGGAGAAGAATCTACCGGCAAGTGTCCTTTCTACCTTTTTACCGCGACATTAACCATCTCATCAGTAATTCCTTTGCTTCGTCAAACGAAACGAAAGTCCAGCCTTTCCTTATATTTGAACAATCAGGTGGGCGAAGGCACAATCAATTATCACCTGGACTGACCACGTGCTATGACGTCGTAGCTGATAAGTGTTTAGCAAATGAAGGAGTCATAATTAACCTACAATCAAAGAGAAAACCGGTCGTGTGTGGATGGTGCTATTGATGTTTTTCTTTTCTCTTTATGTGTGTTCTAGTATTTCTTTATTTTGTGGTGTTTTATTTTGTGGTTGTTTTTGTTTTCCTGTTGTGTGTTTCGTAAGAGGGGATCAGACTCGCTGACTTGGTTGACGCATGTCAACGTAACCCATTTAGTGAGATATATATTCATTATGTAAAACACTGGATTGTATGTTCCAGACCACCTTCATATAGCCGTCATATAGCCGTTATTCAACAAGTAATCGCACGGTGGCTAACTGTAAAACTAGCTGCGTCATTCATATAATAATCAAGTGTAACACTCTATATTGTTTTCTGCTAATAAAGAATATAGACAAAATGAACTACGTATTCACGATCGTGATTATGATTTACCCATGACATGGCTCCAACAGTAGTAGCGAAATAAAACCCGAAATACGATGCTGAAGTTGGATGAGGCCACCCTGCCATCTTCTCTCAGTCCAGTATGTGTTGTACAGCCCATCATGACCTCGCCTTCATCGATTTCAGTACCGTGTCAAGTCCATCTATGTCTTGCTGAAAAAACTTTGCATCAGAATCATGCTGTATTTTGATTTTTCGTATCATATGACAACTGTTTAGGCGTTGCTATGGTGATACCACCGCCCTTGGCACCAGCAAATGACGCTAAGAGTCCTCCGTTTCCGGTCGACTTTCACCTGATTTTCCCGTCTGTGTGGTAATGGCTGTACGCGTCTCCTGTTTCAGCTCTCCAAACTGACGTATGATGTTCTGTTAGGCTTGGGGTGGCCACTGTCAGTGATGAATTGTATATTTGATTGGTAATTGCAGGGTTGTTCAAAATAATGTATTTATTGTCATGGGTTGTATCATTGACGAATGTGGTCTCTATAACGATCATATCCAGAACTAGACATATTGGAAACTATTTCACAGAAAGATATTAATCTAAAGTATGACTGGAAACTGACACTATTTTATTAATTATTTTTATATCTGTTTCATAACAACCTTTCATGTTCATTATATTGTATTCAGGATCTGATATAGAGTCAATCCCGGAGTTCCTGCATGGGGTTGGGTGGAACATTCGACTTAACAAACAATTTTGACTGATCCCTGAGTGCTTGAATTCATTATTTAATTACAAATGAAAGATTTAAGATCATGATGATATTAACAAACCTTATTAAATTTAATAAAATTGGTGATTGTGACGTATTTCCTCTGACTTATTTTCCTAGCCACAATTGTGACATTTTTTCCTGTGTCTTTCTTTCCGATCACCAGATATACACTGATTAACTGTTTTGACAACTTTGACTTGAACATAAGATGGTGTTTGGGCGTATGACCCAAGAAGACGGGATCAGCTGTGAGGCTATTGAATATTGGGATGGCATGTAACATCAAAAGTAAGATGGTTCTTCAAGCTCATGCACAACTGGAAAGTTTCATTGCCATAACACCCATCATATATGGTTTGCCTGTCTCCTGCCTCGTCCTCTACTGGATCCAGT